ATAACATTTCGCTTTATTTACCGGTGTTATTTATGAATGTAATAATGCGGTTTGTGCTTATCTGTGTTTAACCTGTAGGCTACAACGTAACATTAATGTAGACCTATCATATTTAATGTATCTAAATATGTACATCTACTGTATATATCACATCCAACACACATCGATTAAAAAAAAAATTACAAATAGCTAATTATACATAATATGGCAGCAGATTATACATTTTTACTATTTGGCTTCTTGATTTAAACAAAAATACAGTTTATGTTAGGTGAATTAGGCATCAAAATAAAAAAGAACCAAAAATAATTTGGTTCTGTCTCCCTCTACTGGTTCACTTATATACAGTTGTGTTGTATTGTCAAGTTGGACAGTCAGGTGCCAAAGTGCTTTTTGCATGTTCACAACAGCGTTGGATTGACCCAAATAAACTATATTAAACTCAACATTACAATTACATTAAACTAAACATTACAATTATTCTACAAATAATCAGTTATTCAGTTATCCTGCAGTTTCACATTATTGTGATATTACAACGTGCGACGTACAGAACAGTAGTACCTTATGAGCTCCGGGGCAGCAGCTCTCCTGGAGGCTTTTATCTGAGCACATAACGCTTATCTGCAGTCTCAATGTAAAACGTTGGGTTGGATTGCCCAGCTCTATTCAAAACAAATAATTAACATACAACAACAAACAAAACATGCGCTTGAAAAAGGATGTGTGTAATTAAATGTCTTACCTGTACTGCTACTGTTGCCTGAAAAGCTGTCAAGTTTTTCTGACAGATATCTTTTCAGGTTATTAGTGTCAAATCGATGTTCTGGATGGACAGCGGAGGTTTGGCGATCCATTGCTTCACAAAGTGGAATTGAGAAATAAAGTTCACGATTTGAAGGATATTTCAAAATAAAAGTCATCATCTTATGATGATATACTGTACGAACAGGAGACCGAGTGCCGAATAAAAGGACAAACTTAATGTGATATTAACATTTACTTTTACAGGATTGAACGTATACAGCAAGTATCTTTTATATGGGTGACTCCTCATGTACAGGCAGTTTTGACTAGCCTACTTGAATTTTTTTAAGTGTTACAACTGTCATATTAAATTAAAGGAATAAAGATTTGTTGATGGACACGATCAAGTGGATTTAATATAGATATAATATTAATATAACTGATGCTATAGCCTACTTCTAATTTCTGATATGTCTTGGACCTGTAACCCAAATTAGATAGCAGTCCATAGTGATAAGTTGTTGTTGTTGTTGTTTTATTCTTTGATGAACGTTGAAAAGAACAGCATTTATTTGATACATAATTATTTTGTAACATTTTAAATGTCTTTACTGTCACTTTTCTTCAATTTAGTGCATCCTTGTTGAATAAAAGTACCTCCTATAAAATACAACTTTCTGACCCCAAACTTTTGATCTACTGTTTTTGTAATAAACAACTTTAAAAAATAAAAAAATACCATGAGTGAACAGCAGGTGTCAGCACACTCTAAATAATAATACTGGCTGTCGTGATGTGGAGCTCATAAAAAAAAAAAGAAATTACAAATCACAAAACATAAATACAAAAGCTTTAATGGCATGTTATTTATAAATTATTTACAAATTATGCAATTAAGTTTAAATATACTGTACAAGTTACTATCATTAGCAATACATGACGTGGTGCCCAGCAGTCAAAAATGCTTCATGTAATGCTACATATAAAAGTATGTACAACATAACAGAACAGATAATGTGAAGTAGTTATTTTCAATGCTTATAAAAAATAATCATTACCTCAAAATTCCAATGATCAAAAAATAACATCTTTAGGATCTTTTCTCTGATATGTATCATACCTGATATGTCATATGCTCTGGATTTGGTCATGTCCATGTACTTCAATCACTTTAAGCACTTTAAGTCTTTGCTTCTGCACTTTGTTTGCGTCCATCAAGACTTCAGTAATATCTCTGGTATTTTGCTCACATGCATCCAGATTTAGATGTGAGAGAGGGAGTAAGTAATATTTTTATCTAGGCATGATGGATGTTAAAACATATTATGCGCATCCTGAAAAATAAAATAAATTGAACCAACCATCAGATCACTTGCATGTTGAAAAAATATACTCTCAAAGACAAATACTTAACCCACTCTCCCACTTCCAATCATTTTATTCTTTCTATCTGTATGCTTTAAAAGTGGGAGCAGCTACAACATTTGTTAACAAAAAAAAAAAAAGAGTAGTGTGAGAGAGAGAGTTGTGTGTGTGTGTGTGTGTGTGTGTGTGTGTGTGTCTGTGTGTGTGTGTGGAAGCCATGTGCCAAGTGAATGTGCAAGCCCTTTGTTTTCAAGAGAAAAGAAGAAAGTTCAGCTACTGTCCACAGTCATTCAGTAGAAAAGAGGCCATAAGCTAATAAAAATATCTTCTGAAAGCAATTTAAATTCTCTGACAAGAAAGACACCTCTATACATCTGCAAACTTAATTTTGCTAACCCCGGTGCCTTTAACACTACGATCAATAAAGCAGGTTTTAGCTGATGAAATGGATTTGCCATTTTAACATATGCCCTTTTTCAGTTTTTGGCTATTTAAATCAGCATTTTAAGTTACAATGACAATAGTCAGTACAGCCTGGACTTTACAAACAAAACAAAACTTTCAGGCCACCATCAATCTGTACACCAGGAATAGCAGCTTATTTCTATTTTATGTTGGTTCCTAGTACGTTTTCATGGCTACAGCCTACAGCTAGGTTGAATAATGAGGCACATGGGTGAATACAGTATCATTGTGGGATCAGGCCAACAAATTTGATGGACAAAGTCAAAGCAGGAAGCTAGTAGTGATCTCTGCATTCCGACTCTTTCTGCCATCATAAACAATACTAATCAGATAAAGCACCTAAGCGTTGGCACATCCCATCGCTTGGCAGAAATTACATGCTGGATATCTGCACTGTTTAGGTGGGATTCAGTGCCCCCCTGTAAATGTTCACCCATGCAGAATTGTGTGCGTCACTCCAGGATGTCAGATTCGAAGGGAACCAGGTGGTAGTAGGACAGGTTAGTGACGTAAGCTTCAGGATCTTCGTCACTTAGGTCTTGATCTACAGGATCCAAATATTCTCTCCCATCCTCATCATACCTGCATATTTAGAGATAATTCAACCATTTAAAAAACTCTTAAGAAACAATACAGTATAACTCCAAAACCTAGTAAGCTGCCTGCTGGGATAGTATATTAAGGCATCATAGGAAGCATGGAAGGAAGCATAAAGGAAGCATGTTTGCTTTTTCAGCTGTAACAGGACTTCACAGTACTTCACAGAAATACATTCATCCTTCTTGTGTGGAGGTACCATATAGTGAAATACACATAATATGAACAAAAATCTAATTTATATGCTAAGGAAGAGAGAAGGATTTTTAATTGACTAACCAACAATTTGTCTAATTAAATGCTTTAAAATGTGATGATCTGGTTATTAAAAAAAAATTATAGATAATGTATGGGCACATAATAATTTACTTCCCAAATGTATTCGGAGACTGTTTGAAATGAGAATTAGTCAATCTTATGGAAACATTGGGGTGCATTTTTTTAGGTATACAGGTCTTAAAGGATTAGTTCACTTCCAGAACTTCCACTTCATCATTTACTCACCCTCCACTTGTTCCAAACCTGTATGAGTTTCTTTCTTCTGTTGAACACAAAAGAAGATATTCTGAAAAATCCGAACAGTTGATGAGCACCATTGGCTTCCATAGTAGGAAAAAAAAACACTATGGAAGTCAATGGTGCTCATCAACTGTTCGGATACTAACATTTTTCAAAATATCTTCTTTTTAGTTCAGCAGAAGAAAGAAACTCATACAGGTTTGGAACAAGTGGATGGTGAGTAAACGATGACAGAATTTTCATTCTGGAAGTGAACTAATCTTTCAAGAAATATTGTCTTAATGGGTAAGTTCACAGATTTTCAACCAGCCATAATTGTTACATTGATGGTATGAGTAAAAAAACAATGTGTATCATTTTTCCATGTTACCTGCACCAAGATATGCTTGTTTACTGTATTTTTCGGCAAAAGTCCGCGAGTGCAAAAGTCAGCAAAAGTCTGGCAGACTTTTTGACAGCTCCAGGGCTTTTGTTACTGCCTAACTACCTTTTTTCACCACAGTCCTTTTTCACTGTTCTCTCTAGTCAGCTAGCAGCTTTTTTTTAAATTGCATTTCTACTGTATAGACAGCCAACTTTAATTAAAACCCCTTTCACCAGTACCAAATAAGCGTTTTTGTAAAATTGTAAAAATATGTATAATTATTATGAAATTCTGAATGAGGACCAAAATAAAAAAATCTTAATGATGATGACTTCACATGATATATTAGTCAACAGTGTTTGGGATGGACGGAGGAACTGTGTAAATCATGTATTAGTGTGGGAGTAATTTCATCGAACATCTAATAGGGAGGGTCTGGAGTTTCATTCCAGAGCTTCCTTCTCACACCCAGGGAAGGAAGTACTACTTCCTGTGTGTGACAGACTACTATGCACTCAAGAAAAACATTACCACAAGCATGCTGCCAATGGCCTATGCAAAAATTCATTATATGGATGTAATCAGGGCTCTCTGACAACAAAGCTTTATCAATATACATTTCCGTTATTGTTATGTAGCCTACTCTGAGACTTGGACTGGAATGACAGAGGCAATGTCGGACACTTACGAGTGCTGGGCTGAGTCAGTGGAAGAGGGTCTCCCTTTGTCCATTAGAATGCTCTCATCAAACACAATGGTCTCTGTGTTTGCCAGGCAAAACCCATTAGACCTCATGATCTCTGCAGAAATGTCAAGTGGACAATCATAAATCAAACAGACAAAATCATCTTCATATAGATTCTGTATACATATAGATTTATTAAGAATTGTACAGATACAGTATAATATATATATATATATATAGAGAGAGTGAGAGAGAGAGATAGAGAGAGAGAGAAAATCCAGTTTCACTGGCTACACGACAACACTGCAACCAGAGTTTCTGAAAATCTTCACCCTGGCAAGAGTTTTCAAAAATGTTCGGTTTCAGTGACCTGATACTGTGTTTGCGTGTGGTGACGAACAGCCAAACCGCAAAAAGCTGCGGTTTTGAAAATATCCGTGTTTGTGTGGACAGGGCCTTGATTTTATACTGTGATGATTAAATGTTCCTTTCATTTTTTTAAAGTATTACAATAATTGCACTATTAATTGTATTACTTAATTTGTAACAATATTACACTATAATATAATATTGCAATATTCATAAATATTATCAAGCATTTTAACATTATAAGCCTATACCTGAAATCTTAATTGGACTTTGAAAGCATGGCTGAATTTTGTGGACACTGTCGTTCCTCAGGACCTGGTCAAGCTGCGAGCGTTCAAAGAATGTTAAGACAACCTCTGACCTAGAAAACTGAGAAAACATAATTTTAGTATGCAATTTAAGATAACACTTCCAGTAAACCATTCAGAAAGATGTTCAGGTAATTAAATTAAGCTGTTAGCTGGCAAGAGGTAATAAAGTAAAATAACAAGGCATGTTTCTTGTTTGTTGCACTCAAATACACAAGCCCTTTTCCTGCTGGTGTCATCAGTTAGATCTCTCACCTTCCAGGGCATGTTAATGGCATTCTTCACCAGTCGCTCCACTTCATTTAGCTTTGTCTCAATGTCTTTTGCTTCTTTAATCTTGACAAGCCCTGTGTGAGAGCACAAATATATCAGCATATTCACCCTTTTTCATCAGATCAGCATTCTGCCTCTCAGCTCAAGATTTTATGTGCAGTTCTAATGAGATGTGGCTCATTGACTAATTGGCTAACAGACCGATAACTATTTTACCACTTCTTTTATGAGCTTACTAATCATTATGTAGTCTATACAAGGTTGCAGCGATATCACTTTCAGGCAACACCTAAAACAATTTTATCTGACCCCATATAACATGTAAGGGACCATAGAAAAAAATCTTGCCTAGTTTATAAAAGGTTGGCTTAAATGTGAGCAAGTCTGATAAAGGTCCTGACCTTTGTATTAACAATACTCAACCCATTATCTGTCCATTCAAAGCAGCTTTTACAAAATTAAGACATTTATTCTAAGTGACGTGGTTCATAAGAGTGGCATTCAAGAGAGGATGTGCCAAATTATATGGAAGTGTTTTAGTAAGGCCAGGCATTGATTTATTCTCTGAGGAGCAACAGCAAGTGCTGCTAATATTTTCACACAGCTGTTTATGCTGTTTGCTATATAAAGTTGTTGTTTTTTTGTTCCCACACACTGTGACAACAATATTACAGTTTTAACTTTATAACTACTTCTTAAAAAAATAAAATCTTTTGATTGAAAAACAGAGCAAACAGAATGAAAAAGTGTGATCTCTTGCAGTCTATGAATCACGGACTGTATTAGAGCCACAGAAAGACAAACGTTTCGCTGAAAATTGCACAATACACAATCTTCCAGCCTAGAACGAAGTCATTATGTACATTAACAATAATTTGGGACAAATATAATGCAATTTAATGGAAAACTGCACCCAGAGATGCAGCTGGGATTTACGGACAGACGTACACTCATAGAAAACAATGTGTTCGAATTTTTAAAATGTGATGCGCGCAGCGCTGTGCTTCTCGACTGATGTGTGACCAGATTAAGGCTGGATTAGCCTCTTGTTTCAAAGGTGGAATTGTCAAAGATGACTTTTAGAAGAAGACACCGTAAGCTAGGCTGGTAGTTTATTTTTTCCCCCGACGAGTGTAGGGAGAGAGGGCCTAGGTTTAAAGGGATAGTTCACCCAAAAATGAAAATGTTATGTTTATTGGCTTACCCCCGGGGCATCCAAGATGTAGGTGACTTTGTTTCTTCAGTAGAAAACAAAAGAAGATTTTTAACTCCAGCCGTTGCAGTCTATCAGTCGTATAATGCATGGCAATGGTAACAAAATATATGAGAGTAAAAAAAACATGCAAAGACAAATCCAAATTAAACCCTGCGTCTCGTGACGACACATTGATGTCCTAAGACACGAAACGATCGGTTTGTGCCAGAAACCGAACAGTATTTATATCATATTTTACCTCTAATACACCACTATGTCCAACTGCTTTGAGCGCGCGCGCGCACGCCATCCGGTGCGTGAGGTGTGTACGCTCTCTGACGTAGTTTACGTTAATGGGTGTGTTGATATCCAGCCAAAGAGCAATCAAAAATTACTTCAGACGAGCA